CCGACGGGAGGCGCCTCCTCCAGCACATCCGCAGGGTGGCCTTCAACGGTACTGGGGGGGGCACTGGGAGGGACTGGGAGGGAGTGGGAGGGACTGGGAGACCCTCCCCAGGGAGCATGGACCCATTGGGTGTGAGTGGGAGGGACTGGGAGGGGACTGGGGGGCACTGGGAGGCACTGGGAGGGACTGAGAGGTACAAGAAGGGCACTGGGATGAACTGAGAGGACACTGGGATGTACTGGTGGATACTGGGAGGGACTGGGAGGGGACTGGGGGGCACTGGGAGGCACTGGGAGGGACTGAGAGGTACAAGAAGGGCACTGGGATGAACTGAGAGGACACTGGGATGTACTGGTGGATACTGGGAGGGACTGGGAGGGGACTGGGGGGCACTGGGAGGCACTGGGAGGGACTGAGAGGTACAAGAAGGGCACTGGGATGAACTGAGAGGACACTGGGATGTACTGGTGGATACTGGGAGGGACTGGGAGGGGACTGGGGGGCACTGGGAGGCACTGGGAGGGACTGAGAGGTACAAGAAGGGCACTGGGATGAACTGGGGGATACTGGGATGAACTGGGAGCGCACTAGGAGGCCGTGGGATGTTCAGGGAGAGCACTGTGGGGCTGATACTGGTCCATACTGGTCCGTACTGGTGCGTTACCTGCAGGTAGGCCTGTCTGCGCCGGGGGTCGGCCACCAGCCCCAGCACCAGCTCCCGGAAGTTCTCCTGGGCCTCCCCCACCAGGGCCAGCTCCCGGGGGGTCTGGGGGGGACGGGAGGAGGGGGTGAGGGGCCCAAAAACCCCCAAAAAACCCCAAAACCCCCCAAAATGCCCCCAAAACTCACGGCCGGGCCGTGGGCTCCTCCAGGAGCCGCCTCCCCCTCGGGGAAGAAGGAGTCGATGGCGTCGAAGATGCGGGCCTGGGGCTGGGCCTCCTGCAGGAGACGCACCACCACCTGCAGGGGAGGGGGGGAAGATGGCCGCCGGGAGCGAGGGATTGTGGGAAGGGGGTGCTGGGGGCAAGGGATTGTGGGAAGGGGGGGCTGGGAGCAAGGGATTGTGGGAAGGGGGTGCGGGGGCGGGGCCAAAAGGCGTTAATTAAGCGAGGAGGGGCTTAATGAGGGGAAGGGGGGAGGGGCTACTCACCGGGGGGAGGGGCCGGAGCAAAGGGGGCGGGGCACCGGGCCTGCAGGGGGCGGGGCTTAGAGTTGGGCAGGGCTTAGGGGAGGCCACACCCCCTCAAAGCCCCGCCCCTTTGAGCAACCCCCCAAAATATTCCAAAAATGATCCCCAAGTTTGCCCCAAATTTCACTTTTTCCCCCAATCTGCCAAATTTTCCAACAATTTCCCCCATTTCTCCAAAATTTCTCCTCAAATTTTCCTTAAATCCCCCAAATTTCTCAATTTTCCCCAAATGTTCCCCAAATTTTCCCCAATTTTCCCTAAATTGACAAAATTTCTCAAAATTCTTACTAAATGACCAATTTTTCTCAGATTTCCTCTAATTTTTCACTAATTTTCCCATATTTCCCCCAAATTTCCCCTAAATTTCCTCAAATTTTCCAAAATTTTTCCTAAACTGCCAAAATTTCCCCAAGATTTTTACTAAATCCCCCAAATTTTTATTAAATCCCTGAAATTTCCCCAAAATTTTTACTAAATCCCCCAAATTTTTATTAAATGCCCCAAATTTCCCCAATTTTCTCAAATTTTGGGGGAAATTTTTTACTCCCAATATCTCCTGAAGCCCCACCCCCTTTCCCCAAGCCCCGCCTACCGCAGTGGGCGTGTCCCACGTCGGCCAGGTACCTCCTCAGGATTGGCAGCTCGCGGGGGCGGGGCCCCGAGGGGGCGTGTCTCCAGACAACCTCCTCCAACTGAGTGGGTGGGTGGGGTCAGGAGAAGGTGGGGGCGTGGCCTGACGTTGGCCACGCCCTCTCCCCTTCAAGCCACGCCCCCTCTCCAAGCCTCCCCCCCCT